AAAAAAAAAAAAAAAGGAACTGTACAAAGAAAGGTGCTAGTATTGCAAATAAGGTTAGTGACTCTGAGGAGTTTCTGGGTTGGGGCACAAACTAGGAAATATCCAGCATATCTCACATAATTCATTAACTGTTTTAATATTGGGAAAGTTCAAGCTGCAATTAATATAAACCAGGATAAGCAAAAGCAGAACTCCTCTAAGTTAACAGCCAAGAACAACCCTGCAACCCCCTCCTTAATTAACCCTCTCCATGGCTGTTCTGTTGTCAGATGGTCAACTTGGGATCAAGGAATCTAGTCTGGAAAGCCCTAAAATATCTACTCATTTTAAACCTGGGAGTCCCTGCAGGCCTTTCTACACACTTATCTTTGCTATGGATAATCCTTCAAAATTGGCCCAGGGATAAATCGGGTTTTTGTTGATACACACAATGTAACTGAACCATACTAGCATTATTACTGTCTTCTCTAATAAAAAGCTAAACACGTGCGTGCGCGCGCGCGCGCACACACACACACACACACACACACACACACACACACACACAGAAACTTGTTTTAAAAAACTAATGAATACCCTGTACCACTTGCCTCATATCCAAATGTGAGTGCCATAATAGTGATGAGAAAGCCAAAAAATGCTTCTAGCTTCCGCAAGCCTAAAGGAAAAAAGACAGCAGTGAGCTCAGAGAAGGCAGACTTCCCCATCTGCCACATGATAGAGGGCAGCTCCTTTGCCTGACCGTACCGTTCCCACTCTCCTTACCGTATTTGTCCAAGAAGAGAAATACAAAAGTATCTGCAATAGTGATGAGGACGCCACCCCACAGAGGAATCCTAAGTCAGAGACAAGAAATGGAGGTCAGAGAGATGGAAAGTAAGGAAACATTGAAAAACACTATCTTCCCAACAGCTCCTCAGATAAAGAACACTTGGAGAAGCTAGGACTTCAGGGAGAGACAGTGGCAGAAAACCAGGCCTTGGGTAATGTCGGGTAACAGCAGCAACTTAATTACATTCATTAAAACTTTGAGAGTCTACTAGGTCATACTTAGGATACAAAGCTGAAAAGTATGGGTCTTACCATCACGGAATTAGACGGATAGACAGAATTTGATAGGATTAAATGGATAGTATCTAGGGGCCAGGCACAGTAACTCACACCTGTAATATCAGCACTTGGGTAGGCTGAGGCAGGTGTTCCTAGAACTGAGGTCAGGAGTTAGAGACCAGCCTAGCCAACATGATGAAACCCGCTATCTACTAAAAATACAAAAATTAGCTGTATTAGCCTGTAATCCCAGCTACTTGGGAGGCTGAGGCACAAGAATGGCTTGAATGGAGGAGGTGGAGCCAAGATCATACCACTGCACTCCAGCCTGGGTGACGGAGAAAGACTCTGTCTCAAAAA